GGCCGGGACAGCAGGCTCTGCTCGCAGCCAAACTCCCTCAGAAAAGCACCGGAGGGACCGGAGACCTCCATCACGCTGCCGATACGGAGCTGGAGACCGTCGCGGCTTGATGACGTCACGTGTTTTGCAGCGTGACGCTCGAGTCGTCATGCTGCCGCTTAAAAACTTGTTTTTTATAACAGTTAATTCTACGTTGTTTTGTCTGTTTTTTTTGCACACATTTATTAGATGATTCGTCTTTTGAATAAGGTGATTAATAACTAATTATTAAAACTGACCAACAGATGGAAGCAAACATTAAATTACCCTGAATTAAACCTAATATGTTCAAATATTCTCCGGCTCTGCTGCTGTACATCCATCTCCAGGAGACCAAAATATGGCCTTTTTATGGGAAAAGCTGTCTGCCAGTGTATTATTAGGGATCTAAGTTTTATCTTTGCTTTTGTGGAAAAATATCTCCTCATTTGGGCTTCACTTGTAAAGAAGGAAATAGTCCATAAAATCCATGTCCTTGGAATTTTATTGGTTCACAAAAAAAACGTTTTTTGACATTCAAGTTTGGATGTTTCCCTTTCATTTTTTGTTTGGTCTTGCATTATGTGTTCAACAGGTCACACTAAAAAACAATCCCTTTATTACAACATTAAACGACAATGATATTAATCAGTCAAATTAAGGCTGACATGATTTTCTAATTTTTTTAAAATAAGTTCTTCCAAAGGCCTTTTCTGGAAGGCAAGCTGCACTCAGAAAATCAGAACAATACTGCTTGTAGTTTCACATCTGGATGTGTGTAAAGCTCCAGACTATACTCATGATGTTTTAATACCAGGTGTTTAACAGATTAAATGAAGCTAAACGCAGTTAGCATCTTTACTGTGGTGCTTTCAGGGTGTTGGTAGAAAAAAGGGGCTTCTTTCTTGCTCGTGAAATGCTTCTTCTTGCAGATTTTTAAAAAATAATTCTTTATGAACCTTTGAATTGAACTAGTTTTGGTTTAGA